CTTTTTCTTTCCACTCAACTTTCTGTTAACATGCTTGGATACAGCACTCTGTGAACAGCCAGCTTCTTTGGCAATGAATGTTTGTGGCTTACCCTCCTTGTGAAGGGTGTCAATGATTGTCTTCTGGACAACTGTCAGATCAGCAGTCTTCCCCATGCTTGTGTAGCCTAGTGAACCAAACTGAGAGACCATTTTGAAGGCTCAGGAAACCTTTGCAGGTGTTTTGAGTTGATTAGCTGATTGGCATGTCACCATATTCTAATTTGTTGAGATAGTGAATTAGTGGGTTTTTGTTAAATGTGAGTCAAAATCATCACAATTAAAAGAACCAAAGACTTAAACTACTTCAGTCTGTGTGCATTGAATTTATTTAATACACGAGTTTCACAATTTGAGTTGAATTACTGAAATAAATGAACTTTTCCACGACATTCTAATTTATTGAGATGCACCTGTATGTATGCATTATTTTTATTTATAGGTAAAACATTTAAAAAGATAGTTTAGCCAAAATGAGCATTCTGTTTATTTGAACATGCAATCAAACGTCAGTCAGTGTTGTTTTCAACTTCACTGACTTTCATTGTATGGGCAAAAATTATTAAAAACCATATAAAAAAAAAAAACTTATTTCGTGTCCCACAGAACAAAGATTTGCAACAACATGACGTAGATTGTAAAACAGATTGAGCTAGATCAATAAAACAAATGTGTTTAACACATCAAGAAGATGACCATAGTAACTAAGGGGCTGAGAAGACAGTACCAGGTTGTTGAAAGTGAGGAGACCAGTGTCCTGAGTGAGCATGTTTGAGCGGAAGTTGGCCCCACTGAGAGACAGCAGAACCCCAGAGAGAGGAACACCGTCCTCTGCCTTTATCTGAAGGGCAAGAAAAAATAATAAACCAAATGAATAATTTGATTCATAGAAATGAAAATACTTAATGAAATGTGATAGTTCTACTCGATGATGAGAAGACATTAATGTGACATTGACCTCAAAACTGATGCCTGCCAGGGCAAACGCCTTGAAGGCTCCTGTGTTTCCCTCCACTGCAGTCAGGACAAAGCCCTCTTTACTGGCACTGATGTCATACAGAGAGTCACTATGTAGGGGTCCAACACTGGTTTTAAAGGGAAAACAGAAATATTCATTTTATTTGTTTAGAATGCTAGAGTGCATTTAAGATTTCAGCCATAATGACAGCACTTTATTTATAATAGGCCAACAGTCATTCATGTTGGCATATTTATAAACCATGCTTTTAAGCTAATATGCATTATTAAATACACAGCCAAGAGAGGTATTAAATAAATGAATGCAGTATGTTTGTGAATAAGTGAGATACCTGTAGGTTCCGGTTTCATCCGTGAGAACTGTAATGAGAGGGGTTGTAGCTCCTCTCTTCTTAATGGAGATTTCCACATCCTCCAGTGTAGGTGACACCTGCCCCGTGAGGAACAGTCCTGCCCGGCCCGCAATCTCAACCATTTGACCTGGGCAGTTCTCTGTTGAAACAAATCAATCATTGTATATCAGTTTCAAATATAAACTGGGGTAAAACTAAAACCCCATTTTTCTGAGTGATATTAGTGACACATTTCAAGCATCATAATGAGCTATTTTGTATAGTTAAAAATAACTGGAAGTCTGTCACATTCAAGTTACAAATGGCAACATCTGCTCTTATAGTAAAAATAAGGTGGATACTTTGCCTGGGTCTACATCAGGCATGTCCAGTTCTGTTCCGGAGGGCCACCTACAGTGGGGAAAATATTTATTTGATCCCCTGCTGATTTTGAAAGTTTGCCCACTTACAAAGAAATGAAGGGTCTGTAATTTTATGGTAGGTTTATTTTAACGGACAGAGACAGAATATCAACCAAAAAATCCAGAAAAAACACATTATATAAAGGTTAGAAATTGATTTGCATTTCAGAAAGTGAAATAAGTATTTGATCCCCTACCAACCAGCAAGAATCCTGGCTCCCACAGATTGGTTATGTGTCCATGTGGAACACAGATAAGTCCTGCCACTTTAAGAAGTTACTCCTAATGTCAGCTCGTTAGGTGTATAAAAGACACCTGTCCACACAATCTGTATCTTCCATTCCAACCTCTCCCACCACCATGGGCAAGACCAAAGAGCTGTCAAAGGATGTCAAAGACAAGATTGTAAATCTGCACAAGGCTTGAATGGGCTGCAAGACCATCAGCAAGAAGCTTGATGAGAAGGAGACAACTGTTGGTGTGATTATTCGGAAATGGAAGAAATACAAAACAATCATCAATCGGCCTTGGTCTGGAGCTCCGTGCAAGATCTTGCCTCATGGGGTAAGGATGATCATGAGAAAGGTGAGGGATCAGCCCCGAACTACACGGGAGGAGCTGGTTAACGATCTTAAGGCAGTTGGGACCACAGTCACCAAGCAAAACATTGGTAACACACTACGCCGCAATGGACTGAAATCCTGCAGTGCCCGCAAGGTACCCCTGTTCAAGAAGGCACATGTATCGTTTAAAGTTTTCCAAAGAACATCTAAATGATTCAGAGAAGGCTTGGGAGAGATCATTAAAGATCAGAAAAGAGTTGAACCTTGTACACCACTTTAACCAGTTCGCTGGAGGTGAACGCAGTTCTGTTGTTCTCCTGCAGAACGTTTAGGATCTGCTGTTCTCTTGCATTGCGGTGAGTTATATACTCACAGATCTTAGAAAAAGCATCTTGGACCACTGGACCATGACCTGACACACAAATACAAACATTTCTTAGTGTCACTGAAAATGTGATGTAGAAAGCACTCTTGACAAAAAGCACATGTACTTACCTGGATATATGAGGTCAGCCTTCATGCTGAGGAGCTTCTGCAGTGACTTCATGTAATCATGGAGGTCCTCAAACACAGCCGTTCCCTCTCCTAGAATACAGTCACCTGAAAACACAGCTTGCTCCTCCTCCAGGAATAATGCCATGTGATCATCTGTGTGTCCAGGAGTAAACAGCACCCTACGTGCACATAAAAAATAAAAACAAACTTGCTCAAAACAAAAGAAACAACTACAGTGGGGGAAATATTTATTCGATCCCCTGCTGATTTTGTAATAGGTTTATTTTAAGGTACAGAGACAGAATATAAACCAAAAAATCCAGAAAAAACACATTATATAAAGGTTAGAAATTGATTTGCATTTCAGAAAGTGAAATAAGTATTTGATCCCCTACCAACCAGCAAGAATCCTGGCTCCCACAGATTGGTTATGTGTCCATGTGGAACACAGATAAGTCCTGCCACTTTAAGAAGTTACTCCTAATGTCAGCTCGTTAGGTGTATAAAAGACACCTGTCCACACAATCTGTATCTTCCATTCCAACCTCTCCCACCACCATGGGCAAGACCAAAGAGCTGTCAAAGGATGTCAAAGACAAGATTGTAAATCTGCACAAGGCTTGAATGGGCTGCAAGACCATCAGCAAGAAGCTTGATGAGAAGGAGACAACTGTTGGTGTGATTATTCGGAAATGGAAGAAATACAAAACAATCATCAATCGGCCTTGGTCTGGAGCTCCGTGCAAGATCTTGCCTCATGGGGTAAGGATGATCATGAGAAAGGTGAGGGATCAGCCCCGAACTACACGGGAGGAGCTGGTTAACGATCTTAAGGCAGTTGGGACCACAGTCACCAAGCAAAACATTGGTAACACACTACGCCGCAATGGACTGAAATCCTGCAGTGCCCGCAAGGTACCCCTGTTCAAGAAGGCACATGTATCGTTTAAAGTTTTCCAAAGAACATCTAAATGATTCAGAGAAGGCTTGGGAGTAAGTGCTGTGGTCAGAGGAGACCGAAATTGAGCTCTTTGGCATTAACACAACTCGCCGTGTTTGGAGGGAGAGAAATGCTGACTATGACCCCAAGAACACCATCCCTACAGTCAAGCATGGAGGTGGAAACATTATGCTTTGGGGTTGTTTTTCTGCTAAGGGTACAGGACGACTTCACCGCATTGAGGGGCAAATGGACGGGGCCATGTACTGTAAAATCTTGGACGAGAACCTCCTTCCCTCAGCCAGAACACTGAAGATGGGTCATGGATGGGTCTTCCAGCATGACAATGACCTGTACTGTAAAATCTTGGACGAGAACCTCCTTCCTTCAGCCAGAACACTGAAGATGGGTCATGGATAAGTCTTCAAGGATTACAATGACCCAAAACATACCGCCAAGTAGGGCTGAGCGATATGGCAAAAAAAATTATCACAGTAATTTTTTTCATATCAGTCGATATCGATAATTATCACGATAAATGTCAAATTCAAGAAAATTAAAAAAAAAATTCAAGTTTGAAGCCAGATTTTTGCTCCAAAGTGAAAGTTGTAGAAACCAGACCATTAATTTTCCTTAACAAAATAAATATCTAAATAGAAAAATTAATTTCTTAGTTTCTGCATGTTCTAATGAGTGATATTGTTTCAAATCAAGAAACAGGTTTGGGTTGCCTGGTAATATTAATAATAATATCACTTTTTGTCCCTTAGAAATGCACATTTGATAGTAGCTTGAGTTAGGATGCAGAGGTACATTTTTGTTCATTATCAAAATCTGTAACATCTGTAAAAATTGTAGCAACCTGTTTTATATGGTTAAATTTATTCTGACAAAGTTTTTTTTTTCTTTTTAATTAAGCATTGGTCTCCCATAGTAGCATTCATTTAAATCATGATAAACGTAGTTAAAACCACACATATAGCACCTCAATACCATGGTAAAAATATAACTATGTTTTTTAGGTAGCCTATTTGTATGAAAAACAGTAGTCTAAAAACACTTATAAAGTATAAATGCACACATGCTATAGCTTAATCACAAATACGTACTATAGTTACCTTTACTCCTGTAAATCAGTAACATCTGTAAAAATTGTAGCAACCTGTTTTATATGGTTAAATTTATTCTGACAAAGTTTTTTTTTCTTTTTAATTAAGCATTGGTCTCCCATAGTAGCATTCATTTAAATCATGATAAACGTAGTTAAAACCACACATATAGCACCTCAATACCATGGTAAAAATATAACTATGTTTTTTAGGTAGCCTATTTGTATGAAAAACAGTAGTCTAAAAACACTTATAAAGTATAAATGCACACATGCTATAGCTTAATCACAAATACGTACTATAGTTACCTTTACTCCTGTATTAAAATTCAGACATATAGCGCCTCAATACGGTGGTAAAAATATAACTGTTTTTAGGTAGCCTATTTGTATGAAAAACAGTAGTCTAAAAACACTTATAAAGTATAAATGCACACATGCTATAGCTTAATCACAAATACGTACTATAGTTACCTTTACTCCTGTATTAAAATTCAGTGTGAATATCCCAAGTTTCTGCCACAATACCATGATTCAGTGACTGTTACTACAGTAAGTCCATGGTAAATGATGGCAATGTGTAGATTGAAAAGCCTTCTGACTGTCTCGTTGCACACAGTGTTTCTCCTGTTTGGCTTTAAACTAGTTTAAATCACTGAGTCATTTGTGTTCATCGCTGAATTCAAGCAGTGGATCTTACAGCGCTGTTTAGTGCTCGCGTGACCGAGTAAACGCATCTGCTCTAGTGAGCTCACACCGTGTAGTTTGAACTTTGATTTGAGCGGATAAACGGTCTGTGTGGCGAGTTTCAAATGAGCCGCACTGTTTCGTTCCGCTTTTGGCGCATAAACATTATATCGAACATTTATCAAACTCTTCATATCGTTTTATCAAGGAAAATTATATCGCGATAATTATCGTTATCGAATCATCGCCCCCAGCCCTACCTCCAAGGCAACAAAGGAGTGGCTCAAGAAGAAGCACATTAAGGTCATGGAGTGGCCCAGCCAGTCTCCAGACCTCAATCCTACAGAAAATCTGTGGAGGGAGCTGAAATTTCGAGTTGCCAAACAACAGCCAAGAAACCTTAGGCATTTAGAGAGAATCTGTAAAGAGGAGTGGACCAAAATCCCTCCTGAGATGTGTGCAAACCTGGTGACCAACTACAAAAAAATGCTTGCCAACAAGGGCTTCTGCACAAAGTACTAAGTCATGTTTTGCTTGGGGATCAAATACTTATTTCACTCACTGAAATGCAAATCAATTTCTAACCGTTATATAATGTGGGTTTTTTTTCTGGATTTTTTGGTTAGTATTCTGTCTCTATACGTTAAAATAAACCTACCATAAAAATTGCAGACCCTTCATTTTTTTCAAAGTGGGCAAACTTACAAAATCGGCAGGGGATCAAATAAATATTTTCCCCACTGTACCTACAAAGTTTAGTTCTAAATGTATCCTAAAACAAGTAAAATGAGGGTGTTTGTGGCTTTGTGTTGTTTCACACTCTAAAGAGTTAATTTCATCAAGTATTAATTTGATTCATATCTCTACAAGAGCTGTTTCCGAGTGTTATTCAGCAGAATAGCAAAAGGTACACGAAAAACAAAAGAACAAAAATTGTACATTTAATAAAAAAAGACCAAAATGCTATATTCCAATATAAGTATATATATATATATATATATATACTTATATTCCAATATAAGTATATATATATATATTTGTATAAAGCTACAAATATCTGAAAAATACATATGATTCATCTCGATTAAGTACAAACTAACCAATAATCTTTGGTATTAAAGTAAATTCTATAATTTGAAAATAATTCCAAACTCATTTTATTTGGAAAAGGCTAAGTTGAAGAGCAGCTTCAGTAGATTCCCCTTCATGAAACTCGCCTGTAGGTGGCGAACTGTAGCCTCCAGCTGCAATAATATATATGTTGTCGTTTTATAATATATATATATATATAAAAACAACATATATATTTTTGCTTTAATTAAATGTATAAAACACAGCATATTCTCCACTGTGTAAATTAAATATATATTTCTTTTTATTAAAATTACAAAAGTGAATTAGTCAAGAGCAGTGAAAGATTTTCTCTCTTTTGTTGTTGGATTAATTAACAAATGGCAGACAGCAGGAATATTAGACTGCTGCCAATTTAAGAGCTGCCCGGATCCAATATACTGATAACCACATTTTTTCTTTCTGAGCTGTTCTGCTTTCACTTAAAACCTAAATTACTGTGTTTACGAGGATACTTGTAAAGACGGGAATTTTGAAACATACAAGTGTGTGAATTCAACCGCTCAAGATGACAAAAATAAAAATGCTCCTGCACTCTATGAGCACCGTCAGCGCTCAGAAACAGTTTCTCAGACAGTGTGCACATAGCGAAAAGAGTTCTCTTTTGCTGCTGATTGCATTTCAACAGCTGAAAATCACTTGCAATGCTTAAAAGCGCGTGCAAACAATACGTAGCACAGTAATGTCAAGTGAGCATGTAACTGCGATAGAAACGATAGTCCAAAAATTTCTCACGGTTGACAAATTTCTACCGGTATACCACCCCTAGTAATATGTATCCTTAAGGTATTAGTATGCACCTTTTAGGGCTAGATAAGTTATTCCTATAAAGTTACTGGCCAGTGACAAGGTGTTGTACCCCTAATGGTCTATTTTCTGTACTTTAAAACTTTTTTTAACAATATACTTTTTTTTGTAACTGCATGAATTTGGTTGTTGGTCAGTGTCACCTTACAGTACATGTTACTGTGGATTTCCTTTTTATGTAGCTTGACAAATATTAATTTCATTCTTTGTGTGAACAGAAGTTTTTTGCAATTTGTTCCATAATTGTTGTGAAAGGTCCTAGACACAACATGCATCCATTAGTATGAAATAAAAAAAGCTTTAAAAAGATTGCACTCTAACCTCCAGTGATTGTAGCATCTACTTCAGGAGGGTAAAACAGAAATTCTTTGGATGAATTTTATTAAAATTACAAAAGTGATTTAGTCAAGAGCAGTGAAAGATTTTCTCTCTTTTGTTGTTGGATTAATTAACAAATGTCAGACAGCAGGAATATTAGACTGCTGCCAATTTAAGAGCTGCCCGGATCCAATATACTGATAACCACATTTTTTCTTTCTGAGCTGTTTTGCTTTCACTTAAAACCTAAATTACTGTGTTTACGAGGATACTTGTAAAGACGGGAATTTTGAAACATACAAGTGTGTGAATTCAACCGCTCAAGATGACAAAAATAAAAATGCTCCTGCACTCTATGAGCACCGTCTTCACATGCGAACGCTCTCTGAACAGCGCTCAGAAACAGTTTCTCAGACAGTGTGCACATAGCGAAAAGAGTTCTCTTTTGCTGCTGATTGCATTTCAACAGCTGAAAATCACTTGCAATGCTTAAAAGCGCGTGCAAACAATACGTTTTTGTGACTATGTAGCACAGTAATGTCAAGTGAGCATGTAACTGCGATAGAGATGATAGTCCAAAAATTTCTAACGGTTGACAAATTTCTACCAGTATACCACCCCTAGTAATATGTATCCTTAAGGTATTAGTATGCACCTTTTAGGGCTAGATAAGTTATTCCTATAAAGGTACTGGCCAGTGACAAGGTGTTGTACCCCTAATGGTCTATTTTCTGTACTTTAAAACTTTTTTTAACAATATACTTTTTTTTGTAACTGCATGAATTTGGTTGTTGGTCAGTGTCACCTTACAGTACATGTTACTGTGGATTTCCTTTTTATGTAGCTTGACAAATATTAATTTCATTCTTTGTGTGAACAGAAGTTTTTTGCAATTTGTTCCATAATTGTTGTGAAAGGTCCTAGACACAACATGCATCCATTAGTATGAAATAAAAAAAGCTTTAAAAAGATTGCACTCTAACCTCCAGTGATTGTAGCATCTACTTCAGGAGGGTAAAACAGAAATTCTTTGGATGAAGGTGTGACTGTGATCTTCTCCCCAGCCCTAAAATAGCCAACAGAGCCAAGATATAAAATGAAGACTATGAAATTTGTAACTGGTAGGAGAATACAATGTGATATATGCTCTTTGCACATGATTTCACAATATTTTTTCTAACACAGGCAGAAGAGGAAAATGCTGGCAAACATTCTCCAAAATCATACCGTGCCCAGTAGGAGAATTCATAGATGACTGTGATCTTCTCCCCAGCCCTAAAATAGCCAACAGAGCCAAGATATAAAATGAAGACTATGAAATTTGTAACTGGTAGGAGAATACAATGTGATATATGCTCTTTGCACATGATTTCACAATATAACACAGGCAGAAGAGGAAAATGCTGGCAAACATTCTCCAAAATCATACCGTGCCCAGTAGGAGAATTCATAGCGAAAAGGCTCATGGAGTTCATCTGGTTTCTCTTCCACAGGGGGGCTGTTCTCGTCGCCTCTTTCTTCCCTCTCCTTCTTATGGGCAGCTATTTCCAGAAGCTGCAGCTCCCATCGCTGCTCCTCGTTTGAGCGCAGGGGCCCCAGAACCAAAGCAGGCTCACTCTCAATGGAAGATCTGCCAAAATTAAACAAAGCCACCAGGTGTATTGAAAGCAACAGCCAGAACTCAAACAAACAAGACAGACTGTAAGGATAAAAGAAACTCAAATACTTTGATCTTCTGAGACAGACAATACACACACAGTGCATTAACATACAGACATCTGTCTCCACATCTCACTGAGAGAAAATGCGGGAAAATGTCTCTCACATATGCATTGGTTCCTCCTCATCCCCTTCCTTCCCCTCACCCATCCTTCTCTTCACCCAGCTCACTCAGAATGGTCAAGAATATAATGTTCTAGAATGTCACTTTAAAATAGTTCCTTTTTTTATTTTCACTGCTCAGACCTAAAAATACCTAAAAAAAAAAAAAAAAAAAAAAAAAAAAAAAAGTCTACTGGATTACAGATGATGAATCTGTGCACATTTGAAAACATTATCAAATTACGCAATGGCATTCATTCAAGTTATCAAGTTATTTTGTGTGGATCATCTTTTTTGTGGTTGGGCTATGAATCTAATAAAACCTTTTACCTCCTGTGTTACACTGGCAGAGTAAAGGAGGAAGCTGACTCCTTTCATGGGTTCACTATCACTCTGCACCTCTCCAGAGACATCATAGCCCTTTACCACAAGAGGAGCTGCGGCGGGGGCATTTTCATTTGACACAACCACAGTGGTTGAGCTCTGTGAAGGAACAAATATAGTGAACCAAGTTTTTTTAGAACAAAACTGCATCTACATTGAAATGAGATGCTTTGACATAAATGTTATATGTGAACTAGCAAAACTGCAGTGGCATGAAAATCTTTCTTCAGGTGTTGACATATTCGTCATTGAGAAATATGTTTTGTCAATAAGACAGTTTGTACTATATACATGTTCAAGGGTCCATGAGGCATGAGTGGCGGTGATGTCTTAACTTCCTGGAAGCACCTTGAGGAAAGTATACCTGTGAAAAACAACACAAACAGGGCAAAATTTTTTCATGCTTAACTGTTAATGGTATTTATGGACAATTCATATTATTTTGAAGTGATAGACCCTTGGGGTAAGATGGCCCCCTCAAATTAGGGTTGAATATTGTTGCTGGTGTTCTTATTGTTCAATTGAATAATTATTATAATTCATGGAAAATTTAATTTAGGTTAAATTAGGTTTAATTTCAGGAATAGCTGCAAATTATAATACATAATATTATTCAAAAATGATTTATCATAACCAGTAGACCAGTGGAATAATGCCATTCAATCTGAATTTATAGTTTATAGGCATTATGACACCCCCCCCAAAAAAAATATAATTAATTGAATTATATAGTTTCAAATGTAGCTTTGAGAACTTGAGAATTTGACATGTGACCAATAAAGGATCTACACATTACAGATTGACCTCTTTTTGAATTTTTTTTTTCTTTTTTAAAGACTCCACATTGTGCGATTTTGCTGCAGTCAGTGTCCGAAGAAATTTTGCATGCTCAAATTCTAGTTTGACCACTAGACAATATCTACTCACTGGCCTCCAGCTTGGGTGAGGACGCTTTGAAGGACATCATCTTCTCCTACTTTTCTCAAACTTACTTCAACCCCTGCAGGCCCCAACAAATGCCCTTTACTCAAGACCTAAATGAGAAAAGAAAACGAGCAGTTTTTTTTTTTTACCTTACAAAAAACTGTATTGCAAAGTCAAATGCATAAAATTTCAACTTACAGTTCCCAAGACTGAAAACCCGGTAAAAATGAAGTTGATGTCTTGTTCTTTAGTGCAGATGTCTGTAATTCCATCCACATGTAGGTCCACAGTTGTTGGCTCTGCATACAGATAAAGTATAACACAATACATGACTAGGTGAATAGTGAGTCCATCTTAGAGAACCCCGGATTGATCAAGAGCAGATCAGAGTATACAAGAACTCTGAAATTGATAACCACCACTTGATATGTGAAATCATTCCTTACCAAAGCTCCATCCTGATGGTGGTTCTATCTTTATAACAAAATCACCCTGTAAAAGATTGTAATCCCTATTAACACAAACATACACAAAAACCACCAGGCTAAATATTAACAAAAATCATGACTCGCTAATTACATTAAAATGACTAGAATTTTTTGTGGGTCATATATATCATTTATGACATTTGTGACACTCATCTAAGTGACTGAGGCTGGAAACTGCCTCTCTGATGGTGTGAATTAAGGTGAAGCTGCTGGTGTAAGGATGAAATGCTGCATTGTTAGCCCACTTAACGCCTGTTCCAGTTAAAAATAGACGGGCATGTCAAAGAAGAATTTTGCCCCAATTTATACCACCAGAGAAGGCTTGCAGCAATTTGCGAGTACTATGCCAATATGTGATTAGTTTAAACTACCCTGGGAAATCTTCAAAATTTTTCAGATTAGAGCTGTACAATATATCAAATGTCATAATATATCACAAACGCACTAAGGGTTGGGATTTGCATTACAATTTGCTTTTAATACAGAAAGTTTATGTAGACGAAAACATCACAAAACAGCTAGAAACATTCAGATTTGTTTTTATAGCATTTAACTTGTGCATTGTTTGGAGAAGAACCCTTGGATAGTTAGGACAAACATGTTTTTGTCAATTAAGTATAGAACATAAAATCATGCCTTTGTCTGATTAATTGATTTATCAAAGAAATAATCTACAGATTAACTGATTATCAAAATAGTTTTAGTAGCAATCACAGAGTCTAGCCTTTGTTCGTAAGGACTACTTTTTAAGATTAATTTGAAACAATTATAAATAAGTCATATGAAAAAAAGATTACAAAGTAGAAATTGTATTATACGCTATTAGTAAAAGTGGAAAAACATAAGATAGAAAGCAGAATGCAAGCTTCACTGTCCTCATAATTTGCTTATATTGATGTTCTAGATATTTTGCATAAGTACATTGTAAATTAAGCCTGTTCTTCACCATTTGATTCCCATTAATGTACGATTATACTTGTTACAGAAGGTCATTTTTACAGGAAACATTCATGTTGGATGCATTATTATTTCATGGCTTAAAATTGTAAAGGGTATAATCTCTCTATACAGTGGGGCAAAAAAGTATTTAGTCAGCCACCAATTGCCTTACCACAAGTAAAGCTACCTTAATGAGTGGTGAAATGTCTTCATAGAAAGTCACTTCCTTATGATTCAGAACAAATGCCACAAGACATTCTAAGATGATCTTGGATGTCTGACAGCCCATTCACTCCTGAGTTACAGTACCTTGTCATAGAGAGGGATCATGAAGTAACCATTGATTGGTGCACAGTCAGTCTGATATTTCAGAGAGCCCTGCTTAGTGTACAGCTTGATCTGTAAAGAACAGGCACATAGAAAACGTTGGTCATCATAAACCCATTTTAAACTGACTCTATAAAAATAGACCCAAATGAAACACGTAAAAACAATAGGAACTACATGTATTGCTAGTCTAACTGTATGCAATTCATTTAGATCATGTCAGTGATTACTTTGAGTGAGGCAATGCTAATTAACTCAGGCAGATCTGTGCTAATAACAATATTAAGCATGCTTGGACAAATCATGTTTTGCTGACAATGCTTGACAGTTGGTTAGGTAGCTGTCATGCAACCTGCTACATTGACGACATACGGATCACCAGATTATGTGATCTACAACCTACATGCATAAGTGTTTCCGACAGCAGATGAGGTATATATCAGAGAATCAGTTCAGTTCTGCTGTCCGGAACGGCATGCGCTTACTAATCATTTTTAAACCAGAACTCTCAAGTCTTCTTACCTCAATGACAGAGTAATTAATTTCCACATCTGACTTCACAAAGCCCCCGCAGCCTACCAAAATGTCATCAGTACCATTCACAAATGTCACACACAAGAAAGATAGAATAAGACTCGTTAGCTGCTTAATTCCACCCATCGTGCAGCGCTGGTGAGGCGTACTAACGTACGCTGCACATGGTTTAGATGACTTCAGCCAATCATTTTAATGGCAACTCTCTTTTACCTCATTCCTATTGGTCAGTCACGACGAGTGTTTTCTATTCATTGTTTTCATTGGATGTTTGAGGAGAGGATTCGTAAACCTGTGAATCCGGTTAATTAAACATTAGAAAGATTTTTAGAGCTTTGTTTGAAGCATAATTGGTTTCTTATATTGAATGGAATGGTATTTCTCAGACAAAGGTCGTTTGCAATTGCAAGAAAGCGCCGAGCCAAAATCTCCACGTGCTGCTACAAACATTAACAATAGGTGGTGCAATTGGGTGTTCATAAAGACCACCAGAGATAAGAACGAAAAAAAAGGAATAAACACAAATATCTTCAAGACATGCTGACACTGGGGAATAAACGTAACGGAAGTTAAAGGTATACAAGCAAATCTGTCATGCAAAGACATTAACAGAATCATTTTGGATGGGGTGTTTTAAAACAGGCGTTTGACTAATTGACATTTTAACTCGTCTCTAACGTTAGCTTCAAGAAGTCTTTTACATTCTTCTTTATTGCCTAGTTGTACTTAAAAAAAAAAATTACCTCCAAAAAAAAGGGATAGTTCACTCAAAAATGAAAAGTCATCATTTACTCACCCTCAAGTATAGTTCAAAACTTGTATGAGTTACTTTTATCTATTCAATAGAAACAAATTTGAAGAAAAAAAGTAAGTCTAGTACTATGGACATCAGTGGCTATCAGCAACTGTTTGGTTATCAACATCTTTCAAATGATTTGTGTGTGTGTGTGTGTGTGTGTGTGTGTGTGCATGTTTATGTGGTTTATGAGGACACAAATTTGTATAATAACATGGGTATGACATAGGTATTACAACGAGAAGGTGATTTATGAGGACATTTTCAGTGTTCCCGTAATTCAAAAGGCTTATAAATAATTCAGAATGAGTTTTTTTGAAAATCTAAAAATGCAGAATGTTTCCTGTGAGGGGTAGGTTTAGGGGTATGGTTGGTGTAGGGCAATAGAAAATACGGTCTGTACAGTATAAAAACCATTACACCTATGGAGAGTCCCCATAAACCATAAAAAAACCCTGTGTGTGTGTGTTCAAAAGAAGAAAGAAATTCACACAGGTTTGGAACAGTATAAGGATGGATGAGTAAGCAATGGTTTTTGGTGTGAACCATCCCTTTAATCCCTTTACCGGTCATGTTATAATAGTATATATTGTAAACAGCTTTAAATCTTTTGAATGGCAAAGAATTTGATAAAAGATTTCAAGTTCTTTACATTCATTTTCTTCTCTCTAATCAGTGGTAGGCAACACATGGTGGCAGTGTTTAGCACTGAGTACTTCTCTTTGCGCAGCTGTCACAGATGCATGCTCCATTTATCTTCTGAATGCTCTGTGAAATCATAAATTAAAATGCAACCAAATGTGCTAACGTTACTGATATAACCTGACAAACAGCTGTTTTTGACAGTTTTCCTTCAATTTTGATCTAAAATGGAAAATGCATCCTTGTTACATACTATAGACAGTAACCAATTACACATAGAGAGCCATAAGAATTGAATATTTAATGTGAGAATACAGTACAATTAACATGGTTTACTGTACACTATACATTAGTCACTAACATGACCTTTAGGTAATCTTGATAATGACAAATATCTGTATTTCAGAATGGTTTCATGTCTATAGTGTGTGATGAATCTTTTTATGGTTCTGCAGAGATACTGAGTGAATAAGCTATTTTAATCTCCTTGAAGTGTTGAAAAACTACTACTGTCAAGGAAAATAAACAACACCCATGTGAGATTAAGAGACTTTATTGAAAATAAAAATAATATGAATATGAAAATGAAAGCATTCTGTAAGTCAAACCATGAGTCATTCAGCAGCAAACAAACCAACGTTTCTTTGTGGGAAATACTAGACTGTAGTCTGCATGGTTTTTTTTCTTGTTTTATTAAACAAGAAAAAAAAAAGACTAAATAAAATAAGAACATTAGTTTAATAAAAGTACAGTGTCACTCATTTTGGTGTTATAACTGGTTATATGAGGAGTCATACTGTATAGAAAGTCTGCCAAGAGTGTTAAGACATTCAAAATGGCAATGCTTGTAAATTCATACCGTTATAGGGGTATGAATATACAAAAGTCACTGTGTCAATGGAGCACAATTAATTGTCTATTAGCCACTAGAAATTACAGAAACAGATACATATGAACTTACATGAACTCACTGGATTCCTATTAAGAACTCTTGCAATGCAGTAAAATGACATTTTATGTCACATCACATAAAATCTTAAATATAAGTCAACACCAAAATGTATACATTAAATAATTATACATTACATTTTAACTCATCAAAGCCCATTTCTTTGATATAAATAATAAACATTCTGAACAGAGAACTTTTAACACAGAGCATATACAGTAGATATACAACTTGTGAATCCAACTCACAATGTAATCACTAGCTATTGAGACAAGTTTGAAAAGAAAACCTAAAGACCTTGAGCATGTGTTTTATACTGTAGGCTGTTGTTTCATCCATCTGGAACTGGGTGTACATTTGACAAGCTAAACAGCAAATGGCCTGTTAAAAAGTCACATCATTACATTCAAATCAACGTCTATTACTTGCTTCCTTACTGTATAATCACAGTTGCATTGCCAAAAAGTCGATTCTTCTGTGGTCCACTGATGAATTAGTTAATCTTACTTTTGTCTAGACTACTTATGTCTGACACTTTCAGTTATTCACATTATTGCAGTGCACAACACAGCATTAACCAAAGATGTAAACAAAGTACATTGCTTCATAAAACTATTACAATTACTTGAAGCACAGTCAACATCAATAATTTTTAGCCAAGTAAAATGTCAAAAGTTAAACAATCAGGTCTTTTTTTGAAAGGCTTTAAAACCATTAAATCACACATGACAAGATCACCTGGTTTGTAATTGTACAAATGTTGAACAGACAATTGTTTCAGGACCAGAAGAAAAAAAATGGATATCATGCGCTGTATGAAATATATTTTTTGTTACAAATTATAAACCAGCAACAAATCTACACAGGTGTGACCATAATTACAATTAACCAGAAATCAGATTGATCTTTTTCTAAAACTGTTTTACCACTTACTGAAGTAAAAGAAGCATATTTGAATACAATTTATTGCTCACATTACATGTATGATAACTTGAATACATTTTTAAAGTACTGCAAAATATTGAGAAAGCATTTAAATAAATAAGAGCAATGACAACTGCTAGACATTCAGCATGCTAAGTTTCTGTGCTAAAACTCAAAACGATATCTAATTAATAAGACAATGCATCATATTCTTGTACACAGACACAATTCCAAAATTGCCTAAATACAGGTTGCTTATTAGAATACTTTTTACTGCAGGGACCTTCAATGTAGACAATAAATACAGTTTGTAGTTTTTGTTATTCTATGGAATTAATAAATTGAAATGGCTTAATTACACTAAATGTAGTTCAGCAATCCTGAGACACAAATGTCTGACTATATCAATTCTCAGGTTTTAAGAACACTGATGAGGCCAGAAAACTGTTTAAGACCAGAACATCTTAGATAAACAGAGCATAATGTGACTTCAGGAGGTTGTCATGGTTGAAGGGTCAGTCCACATGGCTGCCACATCTCTGAACCTGCAGAAAGAAGCAATATGTAAGCATGTACAACATAAGAGTCCATAGCTGGTTTTCCTTCCAAAGTAGCGAATTTAACTTTAGCCCAAAATTGGAATATCGCATAAAACATTTGCGAATAAGCACCGTTTCCATCCAACAAGTCAAAGAGAACAAAATGATCACTTCCTGATAAACTGGCACTATATATCACTAAGAAAAGTAGAAGTCACTGAATATAATAATTTTCAAATATAATAAATTACTTCCGCCTCAGAGCGAGTAGACGAAACACAATAAATGGTCATTGCTTTCAGAGGTGGATGCCTGTGCTGTTTGGGAATGCAGTCGAGTAAGACAGTTCTGGGAGGCAATTATACTGAAATACTTTGATGACAGACTGTACTCTGGCATTTCAGAATGACCATAACAACATTTCAGATGCTTGGCAATGAGATCGGTCCACTGGTTAGTCAGGTTTTGCCGTCCCATAGTGCAAAGTCTCATGACTTTTTTGATTGGCATTGAGGAATTTATTCGGCAAATGCGTTTCAATCTCCCATTATTTGCATTAAACCTTTTTCGGAGAAGTCAAAAACCACCTCATGCGAGCATAAAACTTTTTTGCAAATTAAGGGATTTTTATTCAAAATTCGGCATTTCCATTACTCGTTTCTGATGCGATGCTTTAAAATGCACATAAAAGCAAGGTGATGGAAACATATCGACAAACAGTGTTCACGATAAAGAAACATTAGGCCAATTGAATTTTTTTTATTTTACAATATTACTGTTTTGAATCTTTTTTTAATACTACATAAATTCATCCTTGGTTTACATAAGACTTTTCTGTTTAGTTTTTGGTATATATTTGTAATGACTGTATCATTTATTTATTCATTATTAATTTGTAATTATGAGTTCTTAGATGGTCTTGCTACTGCGGTGGTATGGCGTGGGGTGCTTTATCGCGCTCACCAAGGTGAAAGCCAACGTTCTTTTGAGTGAGAGTGCGAGCCCGAGCGTAAGACTGCGCCAGAGGGCTTTGTGTCCATTTTAAGCAGGCTGACGTTTGTCCAGCCCACAGGTCGCTGTCCAATCAGATGGTGGCATGGTTGCATGCTGTTTGTGGAGAGTATTTCTGCAAGTTTTAAATCTCTTCTGATAACAGTATTATCACCAGAGAATGATACAAAATATAAACTTTTCACGAGCACCAATGTTCGGCGAATAAGACAAGCTCTCATTCAAGCTTAAACAACAGGTATTTTGCATACACAGTAATCGTAATCACTAAAAGAAAAGTTATAAA